TCTGAAAATTATTTATGTTTATAACCTTTCCAGAACAGAATTGAAAATTAAAATATTGTACTACCTTTGTAGTTGGCAAGGTCATGAAACTGAGGCTTGTTAGCAATGAGTTCTTTTGCTGGCATATTTATGTCCATGTAACAAGAACATTTTATGGGAGGTGAAGATGCATGCATGTGTGGAGTGGGTAATGCAATTGTGACATTAGCAGTGCTTCAGTTAATAGCACTTGTTTGTATTAATGGGCAACACCAAATAATTAAAAAGTTGTGCAAGCAGATGGATAAATTGATGGACTGGAAATAAGAGTCAAATAAATGTGGGTTTGCTACTGGAGAGGAGGAGGAAAACACAATGTTATGGAGAGCTACGTATAAAAACAAAAGTTTTTGAAACTATGTCCGCTTTTCCTCCTGCACTTTTCTCTCTCTGACACTTGAGAAATTATTCCAAAGTTTTAACTAGTAAAGGTAAAGGTTCCCCTTGACAATTTTTTGTCTAGTCGTGTTCGACTCTAGGGGGCGGTGCTCATCCCTGTTTCCAAGCCATAGAGCCAGCGTTTTGTCCGAAGACAATCTTCCGTGGTCACATGGCCAGTGCGACTTAGACACGGAACGCTGTTACCTTCCCACCAAGGTGGTCCCTATTAATCTACTTGCATTTGCATGCTTTCGAACCACTAGGTTGGCGAGAGCTGGGACAAAGCGACGGGCGCTCACTCCATCACGTGGATTCGATCTTATGACTGCTGTTCTTCTGAACCTGCAGCACAGGCTTCTGCAGTTTAACCCGCAGTGCCACCACGTCCCTCTAAGTTTTAACTAGAACACTTCATAGGCAGAAATAACTGAAGGAAAATATGAAGTGTTCTAGTTAAAACTTCATATTTTCCTTTAATTATTTCTGTCTATGGACAAAACAGTTCTATGTACTTACCTCTTTAGCACCAGATTCTCTTAATAGTTTATGGGCGAAACCGTGTTGCCTTGCACAATTAAGTCATCAATAAGGACAATACGCTTTCCTCAGAGGTTGTCTGACAGGACTCCAAACCTTTTGGCCATGCCAAGCTGCCTTAACCTTGTGTTTGACTGAATCAAAGTTCTTCCTGCATATCTGCGTTTGTACAAAACTTCAATATATGGGAATCCACATTGCAACCTGAGAAAAAAGAGGTCAAAGGGCAAAGCATCTAAAATTCTGTGAAACATCTAAAATCAATTCAGCAGCCATACCTGATAAATTGGGACCAGTTTGACTTTTCTGTATACAGGTACATAAGTACAGTATAGACTAAGTGGGAGCAGGTAAAGTTGCAACTCTTGAAACTTTACGGATACTTTGTTTTACAGCTTCTTTCTCAGATACACTGGGAGATAAACAAGCCAGGGTGTCTGCTGCTGCCAAGATTCAGAAAACAAGATACTGTACCATATTTTTCCGTTTATAAGGCACTCCTGTTTCCTAAAATCATTACACTAAAACTTGAAGGGCTTCTTTTACACATAAGTAAGCTGAGATAGCTGAGGAGAGAACAAACGGCCCATAGCTTGCCTCTGTAAATAGGCTTCCTCAAATCACGAGCCTTATGGAACTGATGTCAGCTGATGCTGAACCAACCGACTGGAACACACCTCCTTGGAGGTGAAGCCTGTAGGCTCAGATTCAACAGGGATTCCTAATGTCCGAGTGTTCTGAGCTCAGAGGTTGAATACTCAAAGCTAAATTTTCTTAATTTTGGGGTTAGAAAGGTGGAGGGGCATCTTATAAACGGGGTGGGTGGGTGTTATAAACAGAAAAATATGGTAAATAAACCATGGAACAAAACTTCCACTGAAAGCAACAGTGATCAGGATCAAACTTGATAACTCAGGGTTCCTACAGCTGCCTGGCCTACTGTAATGTCCAAATGTGGACAGAACATGTACCTGTACTGTATTTCTCATTCACAGCTTCCCCAAGAGAAAAATACAATTCAGGGAATAGGAAAACACAGTACATTTTGTGCATAACCAAAGGCTGTGGCTGTTGCTGATTCTGGGACTGTGCTAACCAAACTGCTTCCACTAGAGTTTCAATAGCTAGCTTTGGCCACATCTCCCTTGAGCAGAGTACACCATTTCACCTATAGAGAATGAGAAAAACATACCAGTTTTTTCCTCTACCAGTTGTAGCGAACAGCCCTGCCCTCACCTGTCCGTCACAGCTGAACAGTGGAGTAGGAGCCAATGAGAGGACGGAAGGTGGAGCCAAGGGGGGAGGGGGCTGGATATAAAGGCTGGCGTATGGAATATGAGGAGAGATTCTGTGAATGAGAGATAGTGTGAAACTTAAAAGTGTACTAAGAGTGAGTTAGAGATCTGTAAGAACGCTGAATGGAACAGAGAGTTGACAGAGCTTTAAAGTTAAAGTAGAATTGATTCTAATACAAGTGATTAGCAACCTGTGATTTACCTACTGAATATTAATTGGATGTTAGCCTCCCTGATCAAATAAATGAGTTACGTTTCCTGTGATTTACCCTGGTCAAATAAATGAGTTAAGTTTCAAAAGTACACGTCTCCTTGAGTGAATGGTATTGAGACAGCAATACCTGGTGGCAGCGAAGAAAGAAGAGCGAGAACCTCGCAAAGGCCTGAGGGAATAGGGGCTTCAGAGGGGATCGCCACACCAGTTTTTTCCTAAGACAATTTACACAGGAATAAAGGTTAAGCCTAGCCTGTCAATAAGGTTCTCCTGCTCAACTCATTTTGTTACAGCCGCTTGAACAAGTGGAATAAACAAAAAAAAAATATTTGAGCAAAATAAAAATGAGGGAGGTGTTCAGAAATAGGAAAGAGACTGGTAGAAATTTCGACAATAAAAATTGGAATGATGCCAATGTTTCTGCTAATGATCTTGAGTCTCAAGAAAAACTGACCCAATGTTCTCATACCTATCTTCTCTGCACGCACATCAATACATTGCCAATTCAAAATGGGAGAGCAAGTGCAAATTATTGTTATGGTGCCATATGCAAGACTGCAGCTTTTATCAGAGGTGATGTACCGTGTATTTGGCTGATATAAGTAAGGCATGCATGACACAATGCACGTGTAGTTCATGGTTGAGAAAATATAATTCAACACTGTGCAGATACTGCTGAAAAGAGGAAACACTATTTACTACCCACCCACTGCCAACACCATTGTGAAGTATTTTAGATCTCTCCATAACAACTAGAAGTTCTAACGAAAGGACTAAAGAATTCTGCTTATTCCCTGCCCTGGCATCACTCTAGATTCCACATTATATTACACAAATATTTCAGTCTAGAGGTCTCTTCTTTCAGACATTTGAGTATAATTTCTGTCCATCTAAAAAGGCTTGATAAAACAGTAATATCAATGTTCCAGCTATGTAATTTGGGGGGAGGAGCTCCACCCCTTGCGCTGAAAGCAAATTGATGGAAACACTCAGCTGCATGCATCTGATGCAGCACTGCATACCCACACAGTGGTCCCCAACCTTGGGCCCCAGATGTTCTTGGACTACAACTCCCCAACCTTGGGCCTCCAGATGTTCTTGGACTACAACTCCCAGAAGCCTTCACCACCACCTCTGCTAGCCAGGATTTGTGGGAGTTGAAGTCCACGAACATCTGGAGGTCCAAGGTTGGGGACCACTGGCTTAGAGGGAACATTATACATTATGCATGCATATATATATTGTATATATATATATATTGTTATAGGAGTATCATATCAAAATTATACTGTATATAAATTTCACAAGAATGCAGAAAAAACTACAGCAAGTACTGGGCAATAATTAAGGTTCTTCGCCATGATTTGGGAAACTAGACAAATCAGAGCAGTTCAGACAGACTGCAAAATTCTAGAATGGCAGGGAAGTAAAAGGGTTGCTCTACCTCCTGCCATTGTGATAACTCCCAGTTGTATAAATCAGCCTAAGGGGTTCCTGCTGAATTATGGAACTGGGAGTTCCTCAATTGTGAAAATCCCAACCTTAGTGAATATATGTGGAAGATCAGTCAACAGGAGGAATGCAATGTTTTATTGAAACCCCACCTTCCCAGTTATGAATTGCAAAGCTGTGCATGAAAAGCTAAATGCCTTCTGTTCCAGTTTTCATACACAGCTGACCCTCATTCTGTAATTTATTAAGTAAGCATTTTTGTCACTTGTTTTATTCCCAAAGGTTATGAGTTACTGGTCAGCTCCTAAACAATCTGAAACGGGGAGGGGGGGCAGCAGGGAAGGATATGGAGGAAATGGCCCTCTGATCGAGCTCCCAGTCCCTTGGGGTGAATACAGTAGTTTTTATTTCGCTATAAATAGGCTCGGGAGCGGGATATGGAGCCCAGCTGCCCAAGGGACGGATGGCCACAGCTTGGGGCACGAGGATCCTCTCCTTCCCCGCTCCGGGCAACCCGCCATCCGAAAGCGGGCCAAGGAAAGCTTCCCTCAGCCCGGGATTCCGGCCTGGCGGCTGAGGCGCGGTGGGCGGGGATGGGGAAAAAGAAAAAAGGCGACGGCGCTCCTTTCCCGCCCCGTTACTCGGCCCGCCTGAGGAGAAACTTTCCGAAGTGGCGGCGCTAACCAGGGGGAGGGGGGCCATGGCGGGCACCGCGGGCGGCGGCGGCGGCAGGGCAGGCCT